GATGGATAAAGGAGAAGATAGGTGGAGAGGAGACAGACAGGTGAAGGGTCTAGGCCCGAAATGTCAGCTTTCCTGCTCTTCTGATGCTGCTTGGGCTGCTGTGTTCATCCAGCACTACACCTTGTTATCTCAGATTCTCTAGTATCTCTGAAACAATTTTAACCCTACTGCGAAGCCTCTTCTAAGGATGCCTACCTTGAAGAAGTTACCCTCCTCCCTCCGGAAAGACCTCAGTGGATCTCTTTCCTATTTCTGAAGAAGGGGCGAGGCCCGAAACGTCAGCTTTCCTGCTCCTCGGCCTGCTGTGTTCATCCAGCTCTACACCTTGTTACCTCTAATGTTCTAGGAACTTGGCTTTGAACTTGCCACGGCAGATGTTGGAATTTGAATTCAATTTAAAAAAATCTGGAATTAAGAGTCTAACGATGGTCATGAATCCATTGCTGATTGTCAGCGAACCAGATGGGTTTTCTGATGTCCTTTAGGGAAGAAAACCGCCATTCTTAACTGGTCTGGCCTACATGTGATTCCAGACCCACAGCAATGTGATTGACTCTTAACTGCCCTCGGGGCAATTAGGGATGGAAATATAAGCTGCCTGTCCAGCCATGCCCTCTTCCCTTGAATGAATAAAAAAGTACAGTAGTACAACAAAATCAATGGGTTTCCCAAAAACAAAACATTCCACTAATTTCAGATATTTCGTCATTGACATCTGGTGAGTACCTGTGTTTTGTGCACAAATACCAAGTCCCTTTGTGTTGCAAATTTTATCCCTTTGCCAACTTGTTGCCATTTACTTAATCTGTTAATGTTTCTCATAACCTGCCTTTCCACCTATTTTTGTACCGTCTGCAAATTTGGCTACATTTGCTTTCTTCCTCCAAGTCATTAAGTATTATAAATAGTTGCAGTCCCAACGCTGTCATCTATGGAGCCCCAGTGGTCACAGGTTGCCCATCTCAAAAAAGAACCCTAAACCCCACGCACTGTTCCCTGCTCTTTCGCCAATTCTCTGTCTATGCCAATATACTTCCAACATTGCGCTCTTCACTAATGACAAACTTTTCTGAGGAACCTTGTCAAACATCTTCTGGTTCCCCTGCGTAAGTCTAGTTGAGACTTCTTCAAAACAAATATTAATAAATTAGAATGGTATCTGTTAAAGAGTGGCCCATTAAGATTTGTCGTATTAATTTAAATTTTTTTTAGAAAGAAAATTGATAAATTTGTTGAGTAACTTATTGTCCAAATCTCACCCTAGTAAATTATTCTTCCTCTTATTAAAATCTGACAAGTTGTATGTATTCCGGTACCTAAGGTTGATGATTTTTTTTTTGACTCCTTTTTTTTATTAAGCATTCTGATAGATTAGTTGCTAATCACAACCTAGAATTTTCTACGACCAAATGACCAATGACATTGAATATAAGAAAATCAACACTATTTAACCAATCTGGGCATTTACGATGATGGAATATTGTCCTGATGCCTACTTCATTTGTAAACAAGTGGCCTTCCTGTATCTTAAAATAAAATCATCCTTGTTTTGTTCCATGCAAAAATTTAATACAAATGGTTGGAATATTATGAATTCTAGTGTGGTCCACTTAATAAAAATATCTAATTTGCTTTGACTTTTTCAGCATGTTATTAGTTTAATTCTTGTCTGAAATTCACTAATCTTATTGTTTTGCAGTGTGCAACGCTCGGATTATTTGAATACCTTTGAATTCATGGACAAGCTTTCAGAAAATCTAAGCTTGAAACTGGTATCACATAAGCTTTAAAATTGTATATGTATTGTAGAAGGTACACTACAATATTAGAATTGGCTGTCAACTGGTAGATTATCATTTTTAAAATAAAAAGCCTAGACAGAATCAAATATAGCCATAACCTGAATGTTAAAATTGCATTGAGGAGCACGATTGTACTTAAAACTTTGAACACTTTATTCAATAATAATACCAACCAGTTTGAGTTACTGCTAGTTTTGATCATGATGTTATACAGATTGTGAAAGTATTTAATCGTGTGTTTAAATTACAACACTTTCCATTACTTTTGCTGGGTTGGGGTATATACATAGTGGCTGCAACAGACGCCATGTAAGATGAAATTTTAATGCCTACATAAACTTTTAGAAATCCGAATTTCATGTATTAGTGACTGCAATATCATTTTATCATTCTATGTTCACTACATACTCCAGTTTTTAAGACTTGAAGGGGGAAAAGAATATAAGGAATATTTTGTTCAAAGCACTTCCTCATTTTAAACTATTAGCCTTGGGATAATTACTTCATTGATATTTTTTTCCCTCGCCCTTGATGGCAATATTAGACAGGGTGATGGTCAAAAAAAAACAGTTGAGTGGTGGTATTCTTGAACAATGAGACCCTAGAAAACCATACTAGCCAATGAAAATGCTAACTTACTTACTAATGTCATGGATATCTGACGTCAGGGACAGCTGGAATATATTTTTGAATTTGGGTTAATTACTGTCAACAAATGCCCTAAAGAAAATTAGGCTTTTTGCCTGGAATTTCTGCAGCAATTCTTACTCTATCAGTACATTAATGGGAGACCCAAGGAAATACTTAAGATTCTCAAGGCAAATGTTTCTTGTGTAAGTTAAAGGGTGTATTTTGAACAAACGATTAACTTTTTGGCTCTGTATGGGTTTACTGCAACTTTGGCAACTTCAGTCTGCTTTTACATTTACAAGAGTTGTGAATAATTTTCCATCTGAAACAGCTAAAAAAATTTACTGTTAATATAATTTCTTTCATTACCAGATATTACTGAAATAAAGTTTACTCAACCTCTTGCACGTGTAAATTTGTATTTAAATTTAAGCAGCCACTTGAATATCTTATATGGATAATGTTAAACAGGATAAATATTGAATTTAATCAAGTCAACTTTAAGAACACGATATATAGACATAATTTCCCTAAAATATTTTGAGATTTATTCCAGAAAATGTTGAATACACACTTAACTGAAAGGAAGGGCAAGAACATTGAATTTTAATCAAGAATACAGTCTAAAAGAAGAAATTAGATCTAAAATACCACAAATATTAAAAACCCTCTGCACAGCCTTAACTCCCACCCTCCAAAATAAGAAAATAGCACATGGTATAAGCTGCAAGTCCCCAAAAACACCTGCCAGACAAAAGTCAAATTCTGGCATGCAGTGGATATGTACCTACGTGCAATTTCTTCCACAATCCAATACCTGTGGTTTTGCCATTCCTCAGCCTCCGGACCCAGTACTGGGCAACGACATCTGCTTGACTCCCTATCATTGGCACACTTCACTTACGACACTACCCATTATTCCTACTCTTTGTTGAAAAAGCAGATTTCATTTGCTGTTGATTGCAATGTTTTCTTGGATTGGTATGTGTTGGTTAGTAACAGGAGGCTCCTGTTCAGGAAATTCCAAGGCTGAAGTAATCAAAAGGTTAGTGTATTTCTTGGGCTGATCCAGCGTGGAAATAGGGATATTGAATCCAAATTCTAATTTATGGACCAATGTTTTTGAAAATAAGTTTAAGCATCTGAGATGTGACTCATTTTTAACCAAATACATTTCATTTTCAGCTGAATTGTCTTTTTATACTTTTAGGCTTTAACTTTTAAATTCAAGGTTTAATCTCTTCCAAATTAGACATTACATTGTTTGCTCGTACCTATTACACTTAGCTGAAAGCAGAGAGTATCGTATAAGCATCTGAAAATTGTTCAATGTTTCAAGAAGAACTAGTACTGTTTATTCAGCCAAATAAGGCCTTTTCTCTCCCTAAACATTTAGTTTGCGCTGAAGTTTTCAAAATTTCAGAAGCTGCAAACAAATTTCAGAAGCTTTATTAGAACCACATTTATAAATATTTGATTTAAAAGTGGTTTTGAACGGGAGAATTTATAAATTGATTATATGGTTATTCCCTGTACTCATTCAAGTTTGAACTTTAGAAGCAAATTAGCTGATTTTTTAAAGATTTTATAGCACCTGTCAGTATCTTAATTTTTTTTTGCACCTGCAAATTAGCTGAATTTTAAAATAAATCAAGAAAGCTTTTTAAAAAGACTTCATATTCTTGCCTCAAAAGTAGAGTATATTGGATATTCCAGTATGGATCACCGGCAAAAAACTTTTCTGGAGCTGGGATAGTACATGTGCACACCAGCTGGCTCCAAAAACCATGTCTTACAGCAATCCTTCCAAGGATTGAGAGCCATAGACCAAATTAGCATCTTTCGTTATTTTTTGACAGCACAACAGAAGATTAGAAATTAATATGTTACTATTTAGTCTACTAATCATGTTTCTCTACAAATTATTTCACCCTTCATTCAGTTAGCGTACACAAAATTAGGCAATAAGATTTTCAATTGCAACAATAAAACTTGTAAATACAAAAAACTTATTTTAGGTTATTGTTTCCACAGGTTTCTTGTACATTGCTGGAGTTAGCATAGATCTTATGGACATATTGTATAAGCAATTGTATTTTCTTGAAGAAATATACAGCCATAACAGTTTATTCAGTTAGCTATTACTTCACAAGGCAGAAAAATGCAATTTAAAAAAGTACACTTAAAACTAATTCTTGACAATGAATTGTTAATCATATAAACTGAGTGAAGATCACGTAAGAATTTTAAATGAACTGCCCATTTTGCAAACGCATCAAAAATAAATGGAATTTTTTTTTCCCCAAAGTATACAAAACCTAAAACTTATTGCATGTTAAGTCACAACTTTGCAAAGGTATTGCGGCAAATTTATTGCAGCAATTTTTGGTTATGTGCTTTCTCCTGTTTCAAGATTTTTTTTATCAATACATCAAGAGATGAAGACTTCCTGCCCAAAGGAAATAGAAAACAGTGGGGGCTGATTCATCTCCCATTTTTGTTATCATTATGACAGCCATAATATTCCCTGGGTCTCTGCAAGGCAGCCAGAACTAGGAAGAAGGCTTTGTTAATATGTAAATAGATACTATTGCATTCTCAGCATCTGTATTGCAATTAAGGGATAAAATTAGCTGGAGCTTGTGCCCAGTGCCATGTGGCAGTCCAACTGAATAGCAGCTTAAATGATAAGTCTTACTCAGAATCTGGAAGCAGCAGTCATGCTCCTCCGGGTTCTCAAAAGCAATCTGGGCCATGACAGAACTGAAAGGCTGCCTGCCTCTAGGTACATATTTACTGCCTGCAGCACTAATGCTTGTACCACTGGCCTTCCACAGACCAGACGTCCTTGGTGACAGTTGGCCTGCCATTGAGCACGCTTTGCTCCCGAGTTACTACATGGATCAAAAAGTTCTCTTGACCGAGATGAGACTTTCTGACCAGATGTATATAATTAGTATAAACCAATTTAGGTACGTGAACTTTATACTGCAATTGTACATTAACTGATAGTTTTCATATTAGCATTTTTACACTGGGTTTTAAGTATTTTTACCATGAAAATGGCAACTCAGTTTGACAGACAGCTTAAAAAAGTAAAGCAAAGTCATGATGCACCTCTAAGGTTCAAACTTGGATACAGAATCTTGAATGGTTTTACATATTTCCTTGGAACAACAAGAAAGCTCTCCTCTGCCAAGTTATATAACAAACATGAGCAGTAACAGCATTACACAAGAAATACATTGCTGTACATGCTGCATTTAGATAGCCTTAAAAATTTCAGAAATTTTAAAAATGGAGGAAGTGCAAGTATTACTTCTCAATCTGAAATTTGTCAGAAATTGAATTCTGTAAAGAAGTTGTTTTGTCCCTATATGCTCATTTGTGTACATTTTGAACACTGCGTCTTTGTCTTTTCTTCTTATTTTTATATACAGGTGAGCACAGAAACCTGGAGTCTGTAAACTGATCCCCTCGACGTAGTTTTCTGCAAAAACAGCACATTTTGCACAATAATAAATTACCAAGAGTTTTTTTTAGCATAAGACTGTATCTACATAAAATTTCTTTTAACATTTTTAAACATCAGCCTGTAAAATGATTCTTAATCCAATGGGCACACCAAAGACAATGCAATATACCACAGTCAAAATGTAAGTGATGTACCATGTAAGGACATTGTAATATTAAAAATTCTGAAGTAGCACTGACTGGGAGAAGACAGCTGTTACTTACATAAATTGTGATGCAACAGAAACTGCATCTTGTAAACATGCAATGACAATGCTGTAATGCATTTCTACTCTTATGGTCAGAGCACTATACTAAACTGAACCATATAGCACACTTCTGATGCCCTCTGTGTATTCAACTTACATGCTGAGAACCACCATAGTAATGTTTACCTTGACCAACCTTCCTCTCTTAATTAGGGCCCAAAGAAAATAGCTGCTACATTTGTCTGTACAGTTGTCACTGTGCTTTAAAGTAACATTTTGTGGACTTCAAGATATAAAACATGACTTATCCATGCCAGTTAACTTAAATAATTCTTCAAATTCCTCTTTCATTACATGCTATCTTTGTAATCTCCTTCAGATTAATAGGCCTTCGTGTACCTTTTGGTCCTCCCAACTATACATTTTTCTCCCATTACGAGTGACTGAACCTACTCCCATCTTAGTCCTCATTTCAAAAATGACCTCCACAACGGATCCACTTCATGCCAACGTTCAAGAATTCATTTTTGAATCAATTTAAAAATTAAAACTTGTGCAATAATTAGTGCATTAATTTCATGTGTACATCCCAAAATTATGAAGTTTGGCATATAGTCACTAGTGTAAGGTAAAGGGCAAAGGTCTCACTAAAACAACGCTGATGACTAGGTAACTTCTTTTAAAAAGTCATGTCACCTAATATTAGTCAAGACCCTAGAAGAACTGCTTGCTTTTCTTTGACTAATTTAACGGAATCTCAGAGGAGCCTCAGGTTGATTCAAAAGATGATACATGCAATATAGCAGCAGTCCACGATACTGAAGTAGAATATCAGTCTGAGGTATATGCTTACATCTGTGGTGAGGCTTGAAGCCATAAATTTGGCTTCTAGGACAAACCTCCATCTTTTCCAACTACAAATGAAGATTTTGTTTTATAAATGGTTAGCTGAAGCTCATTGGGGCCAGCGAAAAAAAAACAAAAATCCAGCTGTTCACTTCCTCAATTCCTGCTTCTCAAACATGTATCCAATATTCATAAGTGTAGTAATACTCGATGCTTCAGTGATCTTGCATAAGTCTAACAGTCAATGTCGAAAAAGTCAAATGCTAATTCAGTAAAAAAAGGATTTTCTGATTTTTCGTTTCTTTAATTTTTAACCTGTTGACATTGAATTATAAACAACTAATTCTACAGGAAACCCAGTACATAATTCTTTGAAATTTGCATCACATGCAGACAAGGAGGTTAAGTCATTTAGCACGCTTGCCTTCATTGCTCAGACCTTTGAGTACGAGTTGGGATGTCATATTAAGGTTGTAACAGGACATTGGTGAGGCCTCTTCTGCAGAGGTGTCCGATTCTGGTCACCCTCCTACAGGAAGATTATTATTAAATTGGAGAGGGTTCAGAAGAGATTTACCAGGATGTTGCCGGGAATGGAAAGTTTGAGTCATAAAGATAGCCTGGGCTTTTTTTCCCACTGCAGCATAGGACATTGAGGGGTGACCTTATAGAGGTCTATAAAATCACGAGGGGCATAGATAAGGTGAATATCAAGGGTCTTTTCCTTAGGTTGGGGGAGTTCAAAACTAGACTGCACATTTAAGATGAGAGGAGAAAGATTTAAAAATGACATGAGGGGCTTGTTTTAAAAACAACAGTCGTTCGTACATGGAATGAACTGTCTAAGAAAGTGATGGATGCAAGTTCAGTTACACACTTAAAAGACATTTGGATAAGTACATGATAGGAAAGGTTTGGAGTGACATGAGCCAAGCACAGGCAGGTGGGACTAGTTTTGGTTTGGGAACATGGTTGGCGTGGACTAGTTGAACCGAACGGTCTGTTCTCCTGCTATATGACTATTCAAATGTAGTTTCAAGCTACTTCCTTACCACCTGTTGATTGATTTTGCTTATAATTCTAATACAACAAATTTAAATCAAAAAAGGTTTCTCCAATTCTGTTTTTACTTCTATGCTTTCATCATCTAAGACAACAAAATCGGAAAATTTACACACTTGCTTTTACTCATCAAAACAGTTAGTTGTAAAGATTCTGTTCTCAAATGATGCTTATTTTCTGAAAATTCTAATATTTTTGATGAAAAGTAACATTGGTTAAGTCATGAAGAGAAATATTTTCATTTAAAAAGTATACAATGTGTTGTTTGGAGAGAAGGCTCATGATATGGAATAGCAAAGATTTATAGTTCACAAGACAAAGAGCATCTCAAGTGATTATGATCAGAACAAAATAAGCTGGGTTGTTTAGTATGAGGTATGGAATAGAAATTGCAGACACTGACCAATTTATACGAAACTAGTAAGATTACAATTAAAGTTGCTAAAGCAATTTTGACCTTCTTGCAATTGGAAATGCATTGCTAGAATGGAGAGGCAACAGAATAGATTCACTAGGACATGCAAGGAGATAATCATGAAGATTTAGTAACATGAGATAACTTATTAGATCACAGGAAAATGCAGAGTGATTTGGTAAAGATGTATAAAATTATGAAAAAGTGAGACAGTAAATAGTAACAGACTTTTCCATTAAATAGCAATGCAGAATTAGGGGCAATGAATACAAGATTTAAAAAAAAATCAGAACTGAAAGAAGGATAACTTTTCTTTGTAGAAATGTCCTTAAAATGCACTTCATTTTCAACCAGAGTTGAAATTTTAACAAATAATTTACGTGTTTTCCAAATTTGAGAAATGAACACCTGAATTTGAACCAATGAGAGAATTTTACTTTTGTATTTCAAAGAGGTGATAAACAAAATTAATTCACATACCTGCCTATTGGTGGTTCTTTATAATTTAACACTGCAACAGTTTGACGTTTGCTGCGTAAACTGAAAAGACCTTTGTTTTCTTCAGTGAGTTGCAACTGACAATCAAGTTTGTTCTGGGTTACATTTGTTACATCCTTTAGAACATCACATTCTTTTTTCTCTGATGAAAGAAGGAAAATCTAATTTTAAGACTGTAAAAGATTCAAGTTATATTGCAAAGAATGACAATTATATTTAGAGTTAATGATGTAATATAGTATGGAGCACAGAGTTACTCACCATCACATAGTTACATTTAAATTATAGTTAAATACATGGGAAATTACTTACCTATTATTTTACTCCAATGGAGTATGTAAGGCAACATTGTTCAAACTACTCATGTGTTGGGGGGCGGTGGTGGGGTGTGGAAGATGTCATTTCAATAGTTCTTTCACTCAGGGATAGGGAGGGGTGCAGTGAGCACTTTTCAGAAACAAAGTTTACCACAACAGGAAACACCGATTTGAAAAAAATTCCAAAAGCAATAAATTGATAATTTAAATGACTAATTAATAAAAATGACCAAAGTGTCAAGAAGCGGAGCCAAGTGTTAAAACTTTCTTTGGCCTTTTTTGACACTAATCCAGAGAGAGACAAAAACAACCTAGGCCAAAGTCCAGATCACGAGGGAAGGGAGTTGGGACCAAGGCCAAGCCAACTGTTGGGATTAATAAACACTGTCTTTTGTGGAACTCACATGCAAGTAGGTCAGAAGCCGTTTACCTTGGCTCCTCTTTTTCTCCATGCTTTCTGATGGCAGACACCCATTCTCTTTCTCTCATCACACTCCACCCCTAAGACTGACAACTTTAATTCACCTCCCTCTCTACTCCAGATAGCCAATTCACCTTCTCTCCCCACCCTAACTGTCAGCTCTCATCCTTCCCACTCTCCAATGCTGCTGACTTCTGTTCTCCCAAGCATCCTGACTCTTTCTTCCCCAGGCTAGCAAACACCCGATCACTCACATGCGGGCCAACACTTGTTCACCTGTGTTATCCAGACTCTCTAGTTCCTGCCAACCAGCCAGTGACAAGATTCTCATTCACTGCTCCTTTGGTCTCACTGTCTGTTTCCCCACCCCTCCTCCACAAACCACTATCTCCCATAATCCTCCCATTCCCTGTGTTGCAGACACACTCCTGCAGCTCTTGGTCTTGGGCTGAGTAAAGCCGATCAATTTCTGCTGCTATTTTAATCACACACTCTCCTGGTTTTGCTACAAATAGGCTCAGATTCAACAATGAGCAACAAATGCAAGAGAGACACTGCCTCTGAAGGAGCAGATTCCTGCAAAATCTCCCAATTACATTACTATATTTTAAACAATGGCTTGATGGGCCACTCAGGAACTTTTGCAAGCTGCCAATCAGATAAGGCTGATATCAAGGAACAGTAGAAAATTGAAGAATACTAGTCCTTTAAAGACTATTGTTATAATATTACCCATATGAGGCCCACTGATTTCAATTGACAATTGACAGTTCAACAGGACAGAAAAATGACTGTGTAGTACACCACTAGAATAGGAAGTGAAGTTGTGAAAGCTGATGGATGGCAAAGTCTAGACTAGTCCCAGTATAAACAACAAAAAAAAGGTAACTGAACTAGGGCAGAGAAAAGGAATTAACTGGAAAAAGATTAAGACAGCAATTGCCTTTAATGAAGACTGTAAAAAGTACCTTTCTTAGAAAATTTTTTGTACTCAAAATTCACTGATTGAACAATGGACCAGTAATTCATAAGTCACTGTTTACGTTGATAGCTTAGTTTACAAGCACCATGTTGCATAAGAAAACCAAAGTTAGCGTAGCCTTCATTTAAAAGATTATAACCAAAGCAAAAGGAATTAGCAAGTGTATTGCCCACAAAACCTCAAACTACAGTACGAGTCATGAATTTCCAAAAAACAAAAATGCTATTTCAAGTTAATAAAGGACCCATGCTACTGTTGATTAAACTTGACAACTAAACATGTATCAGAGCTCGCATACTGGATGAAAAACAAGCATCAAGGGCAACGTCTGAAGAGAGAATCTCAAATGTGGTTTCAGTCTTTCTTTCCGGAATTAAAATCAAGGAGTTTGTAAGACTACTTCTTTCAATCACGTTCTGTCAAATGAAATCTTGATAGGTGCTGTTATGCACTGTCATGGCATCAGCTATTCTCATGGCCACATTTTAATTTTGCTGATAAAGCAGCCACAGAGTACGGTGGTTAAATACATTTGCAATTTTGCTGGAGGAAGGTGTCTCAGCTTCTGAAACAAAACTCCTACTTCATGGAATTGAACCGATTTTGCCCAACTGATAAGTTTTGGTCTACATTCCTAGTATCACTTTACTAAGCACATTTTATCTGAACTTCATATCAAGGTGAAGATGTGGAATTAGTCTTTATGTTCGGACAAATCAGTTTGAAGATTTTGCAGTGGAGTCATGGAGTATAGAATTGTACAGCATGGAATCATATTCGTCAGCCCAACTCATCCATGCCGACCAGATATCTCAAATTAATTTAGTCCCATTTGCCAGCATCTGGCCCATATCACTCTAAACACTTCCTATTCATATAACCATCAAGATGCATTTTAAATGTTGTAATTGTACCAGCCTCCACTACTTCCTCTGGCAGCTCATTGCATACACACACCACCCACTGCAGCAAAAAGTTGCCCCTTAGATCCCTTTTAAATCTTTCCCCTCCCACCTTAAACCTATGCCCTCTAGTTTTCGGCTATACCACCCGAGGGATAAGATCTTGTCTATTTACCTTATCCATACTCCTCATGGTTTTATAAACCTCTATAAGGGCACCCCTCAACCTCTAACACTCCAGGGAAAATAGCCCCACTCTATTCAGCCTCTCCCTATAATGCAAACTCTCCAAGCCTAACAATATCCTAGTAAATCTTTTCTGAACCTTTTCAAGTTCACAACATTCTTCGTTTAGCAGGGAGACTAGAATTGCATGAATATTCCAAAAGTGGCCTTACCAATGTCCTGTACAGCCACAACACAACCTCTGAACTCCTCTCCTCAATGCACGGACTAATAAAGGCAAGCATACCAAATGCGTTCTTCACTATCCTATCCACCTGCAACTCTACTTTCAAGGAACTATGAACTTGCACTTCAAGGTCTATTTGTTCAACAACTTTCCCCAGGTCCTTACCAATAATTGTACAAGTCCTGCCCTGATTTGCCTTTCCAAAATACAGCACTGCACATTTATCTAAATTAAACTCCATCTGCCACTCCTCAATCCACTGGCCCATTTGATCAAGGTCCCGTTATACTCGGAGGTAACTTTCTTCCAATTTTGATGTCATCTGCAACCTTACCAACCATACCTCTTATGTTCATATCCAAATCATTTATACAAAAATGATAAAAGCAATGGACCCAGCACCGAACCTTGTTGCACCCCACTGGTTATGGCCTCCAGTCTGAAAAGCAACCCTTCACCACCACCACCACCGTGTCTTCTCCCTTCGTGTCAGTTCTGTATCCAAATAGCTGGTTCTCCCTCTATTCGATGTGATCTAACCTTGCTAACCAGCCTACCATGCAAAACTCGGTTGAACGCCTTACTGAAGTCCGTATAGACCATGTCCACTGCTCTGCCCTCAAACCTCGTCGTTACTTCTTCAAAAATCTCAATCAAGTTTGTGAGACATGAGTTCCCACACACAGCCTTGTTGACTATCCCCAATCAATCCCTGCCTTTCCAAATACATGTAAATCCTGTCCCTCAGGAATCCCCCTCAACTTGCCCACCAATGATGTCAGACTCAGTGGTCTATAGCTCCCTGGCTTCTCCTTACCATCTTTCTTTAATAGTGGCAACACATTAGCCAAACTCCAGTCTTCTGGCAACTCACCCATGGCTATCGATGGTACAAATATCTCAGCAAGGGGCTCAGCAATCACTTCCCTAGTTTTCCAGAGAGTTCTAGGGTACACCTGATCAGGTCCCAGGGATTTTTCCACCCTTATGTGTTTTAAGATGTTCAGCACCTCCTCTGTAATATTGACATCTTCCAAGATGTTGCTATTTATTTCCCATGTCATCTTCCATATGCTTTGCCACAGTAAGCACTAATGCAAATACTCATCTAGTATCTCCCCCATCTCCTGCGGTTCCACAAATAGGTGGCCTTGCTGATCTTTAAGGGGCCCTATTCTCTCCCTAGTTACCCTTTTGTCCTTAATATATTTGTAGAATCCCCGTGGATTCTCCTTAACCCTATTTGCCAAAGCTATCTCATGTCCCCTTTTTTCCCCTCCCGATTTCCCTCTTAAGTATACTCCTACTGCCTTTATACTCTTATAGGGATTCACTCCATCTCTGCTGTCTATACCCGACATATGCTTCCTTCTTATTCTTAACCAAAACCTCAATTTCTCTAGACATGCAGCATCCCCTACACCCACCAGCCTTGCCCTTCACCCTAACAGGAACATCTTGTCTCTGGACTCTCGTCTCATTTTTGAAGGCTTCCCATTTTTCGGCCGTCCCCTTACCTGCGAACATCTGTTCTCAGCTACCCCCAAACTTTGAAAGCTCTTGCCTAATATCGTCAAAATTGGCCTCCGTCCAATTTAGAACTTTAACTTTTAGATCCAGTATATCCTTTTCCGTCACTATTTTGAAACTGATGGAATTATAGTCACTGGTCCCAAAGTGCTCCCCCACTGACACCTCAATCATCTGCCCTGCTTTATTTCCCCAAGAGAAGGTCAGGTTTTACACCTTTAGCAGGTACATCCACATACTGCTTAAGAAAATTTCCTTGTACGTACAAATTCCTCTCCATCCAAGCCCTTAACACTACGGCAGTCCCAGTCTGTTTGGAAAATTAAAATCCCCTACCATAACCACCCTGTTATTCTTACAGATAACTGAGATGTCCTTACAAATTTTTCTCGATTTCCCACTGACTATTGGGAGATCTATAGTATAATCCCAATGAGATGATCGTCCCTTTCTTATTTCTCAGTTCCACCCAAATAACTACCCTGGACGTGTTCCCAGGAATATCCTAAGCACAGCCGTAATGTTATTCCTGAGCAAAAACACCACTCCCGCTCCTCTCTTGACCCCCTTTCTATCCT